CTCTCTCTCTCTCTCTCTCTCTCTCTCTCTCTCTCTCTCTCTCTCTCTCGTCCCGCACTTTCCCTCAAATAAAAATATTTTGATAATCTTTTTTTTTTCTTTATAAATATTTTTATATATATTAATTTAATTCTAGGTGAGAGATTTGACGTAATTATCGAAACAAATCAACCTCCTGGAAAGTATCTTGTCAGTATAAAGGGATTTTTGGACTGTCAAGATCTTCGTCAAGAAGCTTTTATTCTTTATGATAACGTAAATCCGGAATCTGTTGCGATAAAGGACGAGCAACTATCAAAAATCAACGACTATACAATTGCGAACATGGGTCACGATTGTCACGAGATATCAAGAAATTTTATTTGTTCATTGGATTTAAAAGGATTGAACAAAGTCGACGAAATTAATTCGAGCGAAATTATTTATATTCCATTCGATGTGAATTCTTTCTCTTATATCACGGATGCAATGTCCGATTATAGATATAATTTTTACGGATGTCCTTTTTATCCATCAGATTTAAGTAAGTAATTTTAATTTATAGTAAGTAGATTTAAGTATACAAATACATCTTGTTAAATATATATATGAAGCATATTTTGTTTTTTATTTAATTAGATTCGTAACTTTCAGAAATATTTTTATATTTTTCTATTATTATTCTGTAATAATAAATATATATTAATTTCAGGTACGAATGAAGAAGAGGCAAAAGTCGCTCAAATTAATCGTATGTCATTTAAGTATCCTACATCCCCGCTATTATCTCAGCCGGAAAATACAGCAGAGGAGTCAATTTGCTCTCTCGAAAAACGTTCAAAAGAGTGCGCTGACACGCCATTGTTTTGTGAATGTATTCGCATGATCGAAGTCTCGCCTAATAAAAATGTCGATATCGTTTTAATTGATCAGGGTAAATCGTCAAAGAGATTTATTTTTATAATACAAGTACATTATTTTTTTTATTTTCTTTTTTTCTCTTTCTCTCTCTCTCTTTTTTTTTTTATTAAAAATGATTCTTGATTCAGGTTTCGGTGGAAATGTTTCTTATACGTTCCATATACATGGTTATAACGCAAGTATCTTAGGAAGAAAAAGCTTTGGAAGAGCGATTACGAAAGAGGAAGTAATGCTTTTGGATCGTAAGAAACAGTTACATCGTAATTTTTTAAATCCTCCTCGAAAAGATAGTTTTGTCGTTCCAAATAAAGGATACCTTATTCTCCGCCTTTTTACCGATAATTTAGGTAAAATTATATTTAATAATTTAATTTAATATTTATTAAATTTTTATTATTATTTAATTTATTATTAATTTTTATTATTTAATAATTTAATAAAATTTATGGTATTATTTAGCGAATTCATTTGATTTATTTCTATAGGATATTGGTTGTGGGAAGCACGAAGCACAGCATTGACTCAGGGAATATCTGGACCTGTTATGCAATTTTTATTAAAGGTAGGAAGTCGCGAAAGCTTTTTACCTGTTCCACTAGACTTTCCCACCTGTGGAAGCAATAAACATCCGGATATGGTATTCGAAACAAATTAATTTATCGCATAAATTGTAATTTATTTTCATATATTTATTTCATATCCATTTATTTATTTAAAGCTAATTAGTTACACTTGATTTGATCGTTAAGTAACATATATTATTTAATCGTTTGATAAAATAATTATTTAACGGATCAAACAAATAAATTTAAAATTATCCAACAAATAAATCTTTTGTGAAATTAAAAGAAAAAAAAGTGTCACGGGTAATGGAAAATTATCGATGTTAAAAAAAGTTTTTAAGCATTAAAAAATTAAAAATGTTAAAAATAATTTGTTAATCAATTATCGTGAAGATTTAGTAAGAAATAAATGAAATGTACATGTTAAAAATATACTTTTATTTGCTCGTGTATTATATATGTATTATGTATCATATAGATATATAGTAACTATATATCTAATCTTTGGGGAAAAACAAATAATCCTTCGTAGTTTGTAACCCTGGTTTCCAATTATCGCATTTCGGGAAATTCTTTGGAGTTGGTGGAAGATCGTTTTGGTTTCCTACACGAATGACCAGTTCCATACCAGTGATGTGATGCCAACTGAAGTGACAGTGAAGTAACCACCATCCTATGATAAAACGTTATACTATATTCTTGTTCACCAATATACTACGATATTTTAAAATTGTAATATAATCAAAAAAAAAAAAAAAAAAATGAAACTGATTTTTGTTCATATTAATCGAATTTATCAATATTTTATTGTATAAGATTAATCTTAAAATTTATTTCTGAGTGAAATTTGAATATTTTTACCTGGATTATTCGCTTTGAAACGTACAATTACATAACCTCCCATTGGAATTTTCGCGGTATCTTTACCAGGTGGATTTTTATACTCTCCTCTTTGAAGACGTTCCGTGTGCTCCTGTATTACTTCATTTATGTCTTCCCTCGAAATGTTTCTAATGGGCCAAAATTGTCCTACGCTAAATACTTGGAATGCATATCCGTGCAAATGGAACGGATGATCCAAATCCGTTTGTGGTACTGTAATTCGTTAATTTATTAAAAGAAATATTATTATATATTATTTTCACAAGATTCAGCAAAGATTCGTATCATAAACATAAACATACTTGCGTCGTACATTATTAACTCTACAACATTATTTAATTTTGTTTGGATGATTTGTGCACATGTACAAGGTTCGGTGCAAGTGCTCAGTTGATTTTTTTTGCATATTGCTTGGTAAGAGTTACTTTGCGTGAGTAAATTTGACGCTGGACTCTCAAACGCGATATCATTGAATATAGAAAGAAGTTGAGTACGATCATTTGCATCTGAAATAATAATAATATTTAATAATAAAAATGAGATTTTCTTGCAAACGAATAAATTTTAATAGTGTATTAATTGAAAAAATATATTAGAAAGTGAAAATCTGTGATGTGACCACTAAACTCTAATAACTAATAATAAAAATTTAATATCACGCTGCTTTTATATGTATAATATAACCGTGTTACTATTTGCACTTAAAATATATATATACATACATGTAAATATATTGCTATAAAATTATAGTAAATAAAAAAGAAAATTATTATTAAAATTATAATTCAATCTGTTTTAACATAGGAAATTTTTAGTAGTTTACAAAGTCAAATATAAGTGAAAAATTAATTAAAAAAAAGAATATACATAAATATTTATCTTTAAAGAGGCGTTAAAAACAACTTACTAAAAAATGGAAGGTATGAACTTGAATTAAATAGTAATTTATCTTTAGAAGTGTCAGTATAATTAAAAAACCAGAAAGGTAATATGTGTCTTTCATCAGGTTCGACTTTTAAGAGATCATTCTCGCTTTCAAGACTTTCCAATTGATTAATACAAAGCACAGGTTCTGTAATATTTGTATTACACAACGTTCCATTTAATCCATTATATATCTGCAAGATAGGAATCACGTATCATTTATTTTAAAACTAGATTTTCATATTTCGACATTTATTATTAAAAAATCTATTTCTAAAATCTTTTTGTTCTATTAAAAATGTATTTTTGCAAAATTGATTATTTCAACATTTCGATCTGAGAAATTTATAAAAATTTTACTTCGTAAAAAAATATACATAGTTTTGTACATTTTATTATAATGTGCATTTCGTATATTTTCCACTCTCCTCGATAAAGTTATTTTTTTTTAAAAAGAATAAAATTCAATTGAAATCATTTTCGAAATAAATTTTCGAAATTGAAATGCAAAGTAAAATACTTACAACGCCATCTATTGTATCGTTATAATTAAGAAGTGGCGTTGACGGTTGGGAAGGACCATTCTCGTATTTTAAAATAGCCAATTGTTGTATAAATGTTGCTGCACATTCCCCAAGACCACGTACTTGAATCCAATAAGAGTCCACATTTTGATTTGCAACGAGGATAAAATCGACACGCTCGCCTATATTTATATATATGTAAATGGAAAAAAGAAAGGAAAAAGAAAAAATAGTTACAATGAATTAGTACAAAATATCATCTCATAATAACACAATAAATTAATTAAATAACAATCACAAATTTGAAATAATAATTTGAATTATATCAAACCTGTACTAGATACTATTTTATCCACCGGTTTAGGTTTCACGTTTTCACCATCCTGAGCGATTATAATTAATTTGTGTTTCTCGATTCTTAACTCTGCCAAGCATACCGTGCTAAAAGAGTTAATCATCCGTATTCTATGCCGTTCCCCTTTCTTGACTGTAAATACTTTTAAACTTCCATTAGTAGTCTCACCGGTTTTTAAATTCTAAAGAGAAAGTACAATTTTTTAAATAATTTTCCATTTAGAATTATATTTTATAAGATAGAGTTAGTCTAAAATGTTATAAATAATATTTTAAAAATTCAATAACTCGATACGGTAAATTTACAATAAATAATAATATAAAGCTTACAGTATAATTTCCTAAACCATTTATAAGTATGTTTTCTGCACTCTGTCCTAATATATTGTATCTGTAATATCCGGGATAACGTTCAAATGATAATTCATGTATCCAATCATTTAAGAATATGACTATTTCATCTTTATCGTATAAATCACGATGCGGATTTTTCTGTGGTGGATCTTTGACAATAAAACTACCAATTTGTCCGTCTAGCATGTGTGTAGATATATGAGAATGATAAAAATGTGTACCCGAATTTTTCACTACAAAATCATATCTGAAAAAAAAAAAACGTAAAATATTTTATTTTAATTTAACATTATTAATAATTAAAATAAAATAATTGACATTATCATATATTGAATTAATAATAGATATTAAATTTCTATTTGTTTGCTTCTTATTTCAATAAGAATTAATAAGAATTATCTAAATATATATCGAATACAGCTTTAAGAAAGTGATTAAAAAATAATACATTTCAAAAATATTTTAATAATAATAATAAGTGAAATATAAAATAATATAAATTCTACCTAAATGTCGAGGAAGATGCAATTGGACATTGTGTAACATAAGGGACACCATCATAAAATTGGAAACCATTTTGAAAAAGTCCATGCCAATGTATCGTCACTTCCATCCCCAGAGCAGCATTTTCCACATCGACTATAACACGATCGTTCAAACAAACCTGCGAAGAAATTAGAAAATCTTATTATAATTACTAATTGTTATTATTTAAATATGAAAAAATACGGGGGAAAAAATTCATTTATCCGATATTTTATTATACGTTGTATACCTCAATAGGTGGTCCTGGTAATTGCCGATTAATAGGTATTAACGTCTTTTCAATTCCATCTCCCACAATACATTGATTCGATCCTTGTACATCACAAGCACTGTACATTATACGATCAATTTTATTATTAAAATTTGTTACTTAAATATTTTACTTTACATTTTACTATAATTAATATAATTTATTATAGTAAATAATATAATGAGCAAGATTTAGTTTAATATAGACATCTTTATGTATTATATAAAAAAATAAAATGTCTTTAAAAAAAAAACTTTTATATAACGATATATGTTTTGTTATAATTTAATTATAAAATACATACGGCCCAACTGTTGTATAGAATTCAATATGAAAAAAATAATAACAATTTTTAGGCTGCTCGTTATCTGTACAATTTCGTGCGCATTCTTCAGGTGAAGAAAATACTATTGATGAATACTTAGACTCCTTCCACGATCCTAGATAAATTAATATGATATACTTGAAAGATACGATATTAAATAAAATATGACAAACTTTATAAAAAAAAAATATATAATGATAATTAAAAAAAAAAAGAGAAGAGAATGTGCATATAAGTATAACTAATGTGTATAAATACAGGATTATAATAAAATAAATTAAGTGTAATACGTATACAATGTTATAAGAAATTTCATTCAAACGTGGCTTACTTACGGTAGCTATAAGAAAATTGTATATAAACCAATAAGATAAAAAATGCATAAAATTTCATTATGTTTTTAAACGTTAAAGACAATGATAAGATTAAAAAGTAATTTTTTCATCAATGAAAATTTAACGATAGTTACACAATCTTCTTTCAAACGTTTACTATTGAATTTTTTCTATTAAGGCATCAATATATAGAAAAAGTAGAAATGGAATATATAATGAAATATATATAAATTTATCAGTTAATAGTTTTCTAAGTATATAGTTTTCTAAGTATTTATTTCCTGAATATTTATTTGTATTATTATTTATTTTGTATTATTTAGTTATTAAATTTTATCATCATTTGATAATTTTTGTTGTTAATTTTTTTCAAATTATAAGTCAAGGACATTATTTAATGTAAAATCCATCTAAATTTAAAAAGTTAGACTATTTTAAAACTTAGATTAATTCGTTCAATTTAATTATAGATTTATTTGTAAAAAATATAAATGATATGAGTGTTTCATAAATAAATTATTTGATTTAGAAGGATATATAGCGATTGTGTATGATCTTGTTAAAATTTATTTAAACATTAAAACATTATATATTTATTATATTCATATGAACTGTTATTAAAAAAAAAATAAGCATGTACAGACGTCACAGACATTAACATTATCGATCATGAGGAAAGCTTGTTCGATTAGACTTTGTCCATTATGCAAATATTAAAAAATGTTGATTATTATATTATCTATTTTTTCTTTATATATGTAAGTTTTAAAATTTCTTAAAAAATAAA